AAACCCATTGGCAGAAATCACACAAACATGTTCAACATGGGAATTACCATATCTGTTCGAGCCCAACAGAAACTTCATTATGCAGGCAAGAAATAACAAAGGCTGCAGAGAACGTTCATTTCTCTGGTTAAAAGAATTACATATCAGGTAAGTACCAAAGACAAGCATTACCCATCTACAAAACCAGGTTCAGAACTTAAAGATGTCAGCTCTTTGGCTTTGTCATCATTGAAGCCAAGAGCAGCCAATATTTTATGTCCAGGAGATTCCGCCTCTGACCAAATGCTGAGGAGGAGATCAATTGTTGTAATTTCCCCACCATCACCTGCAATTTTCAGATTAAATTTTAGTAATTCACAATTTTTTTATAATTATGAATGCATAAAGAATCACAAAGTTGGTAAGAAAGCAACAAATTAACAGGAGACATACCAGATTTTAGTTTCTGATCAACAGCCCAGTCAAGGGCCCTTTGAGCGTCTTCAGTCAGAGGAGGAGTCATAGGACTGACAAAAGACCTCTCACCCTGTCCCAGTAACTTGACACATTCTTCACGTAACTTGAAAAGTGTAATTCCATTTGCAAGAAGAAATTTTGCAACTAAACCGGTTCCTGCAGACCAAATCAGAGTCAGCCTGGTGCATACCTTTTCAAAAAAGCAATAAATAACGTAACTTCCAAAAACATACTGGGCTTATAAATATTTTTATACACAACAAAGACAAGATCAGTTCTCAACCAGCAACATAACAAAATAACAAAATACGTTATTCATTTTAATCACATGCACCATGCAACCCTGCAATATGGTGTGCATTACTCAAATTTAAGATCAATTACCTTTCTGTATTTATTTTCCTTCAAAAACTGCCACAAATATACCCTTAGTTTCTCCAACACTGTGTAAAGCCACACATGCTGGTCTAATACAGAGATGTTCAGACATGGAAGACCAAGCATAAGAAGTTTTGGTACCTTTTATTTTATTCCCATTACATCCTCCTTATTGTTATATCATGAGGATCACAATAAGAAATGCTATGTTATTGCAAGCAAAGGTCCAACATCTTTAGTAAAAGAAGTCATACATACAATTACTAACATAAGACCCAGTCAGACAAGCATGATTTTGATAAAATTTTGTCCATATGATTTCAGTTACTAATCTTGCTTTAAGCCACAAAGGAAAAGGATTTCTTATTGTATTGAGAAACTGAGAGAAAGACAATGTCTCAAAAATTGTTGCTTGCCAATGTAGGGTGGCTACCATACCACTACCAGCTAAAAGCTAATAGTGAGACTAATGCAATTATATGTTTGTTTGCCAAACTTAACCATGCTAGTAATCAATTCAGTTGTGCCGAACTCATAGAAGCTAGCTTAAGTTGCTTGAACTCTCTCATTCTCAATAAGTCAATATTGTATTCTTGTTGAACACAGCTTTGTAATTCGCATTCGATTCCAATACCACATGTATTACATCTTTTCAACTTAATTTGGGCAAACTACTGAGTATGATAGAAACTATTCTCAGCTACGGTAGAAGCTACGACATAACCATTCATGATGGCAGTAACCACAAAAATAACAAATTATTGATTAAATGAGAAAACATTAATAATGATTATGTAAATAAAACTGAAAGAGCTCCAAGTGGGTACTAGAAACGTAGTTAACCTCAATTAGAATGCCCATGAGAAGGGACTCAGTTCCTGTAGTTGGGTACCTGAACTTCCTTGCTTCAAGTTCAGACATGGCAAATGACTTTATCGCATTTCTTGACCATCTATATTGGAATTGAACCATTTCAATTCAAGTTCAGTCAACAGTCATAATTTCATAACTCACTCACAATCAAATACCAACCAAAGAGGTAAAATCAGATAAACTTACTTCGGAGGTTTGTCCGCAGAAGCAATCCTCTCCGGGTTCCTGAAATCACAAAACGACTTAAATTAAAGTTCAGTACATTGACATTAAAA